GAGAGATGCTCTGAGTGCTGTTGACAGAGAAATAGATGTTGCAGGCAAAAAGATCCTTGAATCAGAGAAACATCAAATGGGAGAGATGAGGCTTTGAGAAGGGTCACTTTAAATGCACTTTAGTTCCGGGCCAGGATCAGCCAGACAATACCTGGCTAATGCTTCCTCTTTTCTCTCCTTGTTTTAGATCCAAGTGCTAGGAAGGAGCAGCACCACCAGCCCTACTTTCAGCACGTCATTCAGAACTCCATCTCAGCATCAGCCCATCTCCTCTTCTGCAATAATGCCTGCTTTCACCGGAGCTCAGCCTGGCTTTACCCCTTCCCAAGGTAGGGACGCTGTTCTGGGCCCTCATGGGGCTGCTCGGGGTGACCTCACGGAGCTGGGCTGCATCACATCTCTTGACCTGATCCGTTTGCTGCACAGTCTGGATTTCAGACAGACTTCAGCTGAGGGCTGCCTTTCTCTCAAGCCAGTGGCTGTGGGGAAGGAGACAGCAGAGAATAATAGGATGGGGACTCAGGCCTTATTCTGGAGGCTGCAGTGGGATGGAGGGGTGCAGCTGGTGGGAGGGAGTGAAGCCTTCCCAGGTGTGGCTCTCCATCCAGGCTGCTTTGTGGCACTCAGCCTGGATTGGGCTGGGATCGGTTGTTTCTTTTTGTGAGTGTGATGGGGAGTCATAGCCACCCCGTATCACCTGTCCTCAGGAGGTCCTGCCCCCCAGGCATTCCCAGCACAGGTCTCTACCTGCAGAAATCACGAGTTTGAGGCAGCATGGCACTTTATTACACTGCTTTATTTCTTCTTCCAGAGACTGGGCTGACAAAGGAACAGAAGAGCTCAGCAGCTCCAGAGCATTTATTTTCTTTTCTTTTTATTAATTAGGTGAGCTACTGCCCATCTCCCTCTTCTCCATAGGCATCTGGGCATGAAGCCGCTAAAGAGACCAGTCCATCCCTCTCTTTGTGCCCATGGGAGTGCTCCTGGGGGACTGGTAGGTGTCTGGTTCAGAGGTAGGGGATCGGGCGAGCCCATTCTGCCAGGAGATGCCCGGTGTGGTCCTTCCCCAGGGAGGAATCTGTGCTCCGGGTGCTTTGCTTTGTCTGTGGGACTGCTCTGCACTGGAGCCATTTATCAGTCCCGATGCATATTTAATGCCAAAGTGGTGAGCAGAAGCAGAGCAGTGTTTGCAGACAGGCGAGCCGGGGAGCTCTGCCATGGCTGTTAACAGTCCTGCATTAATTATGATGGAATAAATAATTCACGGGGCTAATAACAAAGGCTTGTTTTTAATGGCGATGGAAATCCCGCTGCTCCCAGGAGGCGGCGGAGGAAATGCTGTGCACTGAACCCAGTGGGCAGCAGAGCACAAGAGCCGTGTGGTGGCATTCTGGGGGGCCCTGCACAACCCTGCGGCATCGTGGCTCTCCATGGCACCTGCCTGAAAAGCTTGCAGGATGAGGGCAGGAGGGATCAGCTTCTGTGCGACTCACAATTGTGCTGGAACAGCAGCCAGCCCTTCCATCTCCCACCTGTCTCATTTTGCCTCGCTGTTAAGCCTTGTGCAGTGGAAGTGCAGATCCCCAGCTCTGTGCCTTGTCCGGATGCAGTGGGCACAGCCTGCATCTCCCCTGTCTTTCCCTCGGGCTGTGTCTCTTCCTTCCTTCTCTCCATTACCCCCTCTTTGGCTCCTTCAAACATTAATATGGATGTTTTCTTGCACCTCCATTGTCCTTCAGCTTAAATAGCTTTTTTCCCCTCCCTAATGTTTACCCTCCAGATATATTTATAGAGAAAAAAATCACATTGCTGCCAGTTTGCTTCATCTGGGCTAAGCGATACCTGTTCCCTCTCCGTGCCATGTGCCCTGGCTCAGCCCACAGCCTTGCTCTGCTCTTCCTTACCGTCCTTTGTTGTGGCCATCCTCCTGGCTGAGCCACCACGGTGGGTGACTGAGCAAACCATATTGCTTTGCCTACCTCAGTTTCCCTATATAGAGAGAATGGTAACATCCCGTGGCAAGGGCTGGCTATAGACAGTAGAGGAGTTTTCTCCTTCCCAGTGCTGATCCCTCATGGAGGCTCATTTCAATACCCTGTGTTTACAGCTCAATGGGAGCACAAACCCTGTCCCAGCCCATTGCGGGAAGCTGCAGAATGGCAGGGGCACAGAGCTCTGCATGTACAGAGGAGGTGTTTGCACAGACAAACAGCCACCCTTGGAGTGTTCCCATCCAAAGAGGTGTTTTAGAGGAGACTGGGACAGCCCCAGCACAGGCTGTTGACACAGGAGAATGCAGCAGATTTCACCTAGAAAGGGGCTGTTTGAACAGAACAGCACAGCTCAGAAGTGCTTATGTCTGGAGAGTGGATGTTTACACAGGGGAATAGCACATCCGCCTTGCTATTAGAGAACAAAACAAATGTTTGCCCAGGTAAGCACAGAGCTCAAGCTCAGGTTTGGCATTGGGTCTATAGCTTCTATAGCTTCTGAACGAGCACTGCTGCTGTTGGGCTCTCCCACGTCCCTGCTGTGCTGGGGGATGGGGTGCATGGCTCACCCACAGCCAAAGCCACCTCTCTTCTCAGCCGGCTCAAGAACTAAGAACCATTCAGCACACGCTGGTGAAAAATTACTTTTATTTTTTTTTCCTTTCATTAGACATGCTCTCTCCTTATCTTTTTCTTGTTCCAAAAGAAATCAATGGAGAAAGCCTCTGAGGGATGTCCTCTCCTCTCTATTTTAACAAATTCCCAAACCACCATCTTTGTATCACACTTCCTTGAGTCTTCAGAGAAACTTTTGGGGCAGGCACGGAGGGTGAGTCGCTGGGAGGTGGGCACGTGGGTCTGTGCAGGCACTTTGGGGCCACAGGCAGGACTGGGGTAATGCAGGTGGCACAGGCTTGTGTTGCAGTAAACACTGGTGGCTGTGGGGATCGGAGGGAAACGAGTGCCAGAGTGGCTGTGCTGAGGGCTGCTGTTGTGGTTTCAGTGCTGGAGCTCGTGGGTTGGAGAGGGGGAGGCGAACCAAAATATTTATACCATAAGATGTGCACTTTTTTTGAGCCGAAGCTTGGGCAGCATCCCAGCCCTTCCATATGTGCCTGTAGACACGGCTTTACCTGATGCTTCTCTCTCCCAGTGAGAGTGCAGCTCAGCTGCTCTGTTGCAGAGGCAGAAGCAGGCATCTCCTGTGCTGGATGCTGGCAGTGTGAAGGCTCTTCCCCTGCCCCCTTGTGCCCTTGGGTTCAGGACTGAAATGTCACCCCAGGTGGAGATGTTGGGGTTGAGAGGACTGAAATTTATCAGGATCCAGCCCCAGGGAGCTGCCGTGGGGCAGGGAAGAGCATGGAGCATCTCTCCTTCCCGTGGCTGGGATAAGCAGCACCGTGGGCTGGAAGGGCTGCAGAGTCAATCACAGCTGTGGGAGCTGAACAACACTGGTGTGCATTTGAAAGGACCAGAATGATGTCCCTGTCTCTTGAGCCTTTGAGGTGAGTTCTTCAGCCTATCCTGCATTCAGGCTACACAGCCTGGCAGCACTCTGACCCTCCCTGGATGCTGAGAGGGATGCTGAGCATCTCTGCAGTGACACCTGTGCTGTTTGCCTTCCCCTCCCTCACAGTCCGAGCACAACACCCATGGCTCAGCCCCAGCCCAGAAGCATCAGCCCCTTCCTGTGAAGCAGCTGCTTCTGTGAGGGTCTCGTTTTGCAACTGCTGCAGAACAGCAGCGTTCAGTCTCCTAGTCTGCACACCGGAGATGGCCCCTCTCCTCCTCCCTCTGACAAGATTTAAGATGGTCATGGATAACTGCTTTTCATTATAGTCGTGCTCATAAATCCTTCCTGCATCCCGTTTTGGACAGGCTTCTGCCATCAGCCACGCTGCCCACGTTCTCTGCAGTGGCAAGAGACCCTCTGCTCCCCATTTCCCTGTCCCTGCCCTCACCCCAGTGCCTGCCACCATTTCCACGTGCAGCCTCTGCTCTCCATCATTTGGCATCTCCCCCCTCTCATTTCCCCAATGACAGGACAAACTCTGCAGGAGCAAAAGCACTTGCTATGCAATTTTCCCTGCCAGTGCTCACGCAGTTTCCCACTGCACCTCCACCCACCCCATATGACCGATGCCCATGAGCTCTCCCCTCCAAGCTCCAATCTCACAAGTCCCATTGCACCAGGGCTGCTCATCAAGGCAAGGCACAGCTCATGCTTCATCAGCCCTGGGGTTTTGAATGATATCTGCTGCTTTCTTCCAATTCCCAGCTCATTTATGTCATGTTTTTGGCTCTGGCTACCCAGTAGTATTGATCAGACTCCTTATGCTATGAGGGCTCTTCCTCTACTTCTTTACAATGCAAGACACATTTCTGTGGTACAAGAGCTACAAACTGGAAAAAGAAAGAAAGAATGAAAACATCACATAAAACCAGACCTTACGTCCTACTCCTCTAATTGCCTGTGAGCAGAGATGCAATTAAATATTTGTCAAGGCTTCTTATTTCATGTTAAGAACACTGCTTTTGGCAGCCCTCTGGCCCTAAATGTGTGAACAATGTGATTTGAGTGTGTGGAGGAGCCCACAATGGTTTTCTCATCCCATGGGAGCTTAAAAACCCTGCTCCTTCCTTTTCTCTGGAAGCAGAACGGTGCAGACCAGTGGTGGGAGTTTTACTGCCATGAGGACTGCTGCACTATTCAAAGAATTGTGAAATCATTGAACAGCTTAGATTGGAAGGGACCTTGAAGATCATCGAGCTCCAGCCCCCCGCTTTGCATAAGAGAAATATATGCTTTTGGTTTGCAGAGGTGGCAGTAGGACCCCTGCAGGCCTTCTAAGAGTAGAAAATCAGTGTTGGTGAAAGGGTTGATGTTTTGCAGCTGCTGCTTGATCATCAGGAGGAAACAGAGTGGATAGTAGGGGAGGTGGGACAGCTGAGAGTTAAGGAGAAGGGATTAATAGGAGGAAGTCACTCCGTAGCCACTGCTTTGGGATTGCTGCCCATGGTGCAGGGTCAGGACTGGTGGTGAGTCTGTGGGTACCAATGTCTGAAATGCAGCTGAGCCAGTGGAGGGAGAGGTTGGTGCTTCCAGGAGAAGATCTCCCAGGAGCTGTGATGGGAAGACCTGCCTTCCTGCTCTGATGGGGAGCGCAGTCTCACCTACTCAGCTTGTAGTTTCTCCCTGCCAAAATGTTTGCATGTGGGGTATGGATACCTGCCAGACAAACTTGAGTGCAGCTCTCTGTAATGGCCAAACAGCCACAGGAGATGGAGTGGGGCTTGCTCACCATCTGTCTGAGCTTGTAGCAGGGCTGTGATGCTGGGTCTGGAGGCAGCTGAGCCTGGGGGTGATGCTGCAGGGCTAAGTCCCCAGGAGCTGGGGTTTCTGTGTGTGTGTGATGCTGCAGCAGCAGCAGCACAGGTGAAAGCACCATGCTGGGCACTGCTTCTTGCCAGTGCCAATCTGGGCATGGAGCTGCTTGGGCTGCCAAAGTGAGAACGGAGAGGGGTCCTGTGTTCAGTGGATGCCAGTTTGGAAGGAAAGCACAGCTCCTGGCCAGTTTTCTGCTCCATTTGGTTTCCCTGTGGCTTGATGGGGATGTTAAATGGCAGGCGCTATGTGCCAAGCTTAGGCATCTCATCCCCATGTGGAAGAGCTGATGAAGAGCTGTTCTCAGGCATGGATGCAGATATAATCATTATTGGAGCTGACTGTAGTTGTGGGGGAGATGGCAGTGAGGAACAGCCAGCATTCATTGCAGGAGCTCACAGCCCAGCCGTGGGGTGTCTGGGCAGGAGATGCAGGGCTTGATTTGTGGGCTGCGGCACGCGGGGGAGAAAATTCTTTTGCAGATAGACTGTGCCTTGCTGAGCCCCAGGTGGGTCATACCCTCAGCTGTACATCCTGGGGTGGCAGAGAAGGGAACTGTGCACCTCTGCTGTGCTCACAATCCATCCCCAGGCTGTGCCTGCTCACAGCAGGCGCACTTCAAACACGGTCCGCTTCCCCTGTGCTTGTCTGCTCATTGAGTGGATTTCCAATAACATCACTGCAGGTCTTGAGCAAAGTTTTCAAAGTTAATCCCCCTGCACATAATCACCAGAGAAAGCCTTGTTTTAGCAAGGCACTGCCTTACGCTTGTTAGGAGGTGAACGGCAGCAGCTGTCACTGAATAATCGTTCTCATTAACTCATCTCTGTACCTTCTTTTGCTTGATGAAACCCTCTCTCCAAATCACAGCCTTGAGGGCTGCTCAAAAACAAAGCAGACAAACAAAGCTAGCTAGTAAAGCAAATGAGGACAAATAGGAAGGCTAAACATTCTTCTACTTTCTCTTTCTTTTTGTCCCGTAGAAAAAGTGGAGGGAAAATGTGCCCTGGATTCTAGTTCCTGCCCTACGTAAGGCAGCCCACCAGGGTACCATGTGGAGGCATGGCCCAGGTAACCACCTCTCCTATTTGGTAGCACTGGATCCAAGGACCAGAGGTAATGGCTTTGTTGCACCAGGGGAGGTTCAGGTTGGTTACTAGGAAAAAGCCCTTCTTGGAGGGATATTGGAACAGGCTGCTCAGGGAGGTGGTAGAGTCACTGTCCCTTGGAGGTGTTCAAGAGACATCTGGATATGGTATTTGTGGACATGGTTTAGTGGAGATGGGGTGATGGTTGGATGTTGTGATCTAGTGGTGCTTTCCAATCTTAATGATACTATAATAATGGAGAGAGCAAAGAGGCTTGGGTGCTGGATAGATACCTGTGTGAGCAGTGCTGTGGGAGCAGAAGGATTCTCTGCTGTCCCAAGTTACAGATGGTTTCTGGGCATTTACATCACTCTGGAGACTGTTCTCTCTGCCTCAGCCTTTTAGGGAAGCAGGATACTTGGGAGCCCACTGTGAGATGAAGAGCTCTCTGCCTCATCCTGCTCTTCTCCCTGCCTCTCTCTGGGACACTGAGCATTTCTGGCTTCTGTTTGACCAATGGTCTCCTGCTGACAAGGAGCATACGGCCAGGGAGGGTGCAGAGGGAAAAGTCATAGATTATCCTTAATTGAATAGAACAGATAGAGCTGACCTTCAGGGAACAAAGCCATGAATCTTCAGACAATAGAGTGAGTGCCACATGGATTTACTGTCCTCTGGCTTCAAAGGCCTGACCTCCACCACCCCTCTCCACCGCTGCAGGAGAAGAAGGACAAGGAGGATCTGCCTGGGGATGCCCTGATTTACATGAATCTCCTGGCACACAGGAGCTTTTACGCGTGTTTTCCTTGCGAGCTCAGGCTCCCAAATGCCTTGATGTCTTTGAAACAGGGTGCTGTGCTTCTGCCTTTCCCAGGGTTCAGTCAGCCCTTGAGGTGGCTGGGATTGGTGGACAAGGCTGGCTGCTGGGCTCCAGGGCTTGTGCTGTGTGGGGAGGGATGAGGGATCGAATGTGACGGAAGGGTCTTTCTGTGCAGTTTCCTCTTCTGCAGTGCCAGTAGTCACCAAGAATGTGTTGTTGATGCAGGAGGATTCGTATCAGATGCTCGGTCACTCTGAATCAGCATGGCTGTGTTGATTTGTACCAGCTGCAGCCTGGCCCCCCCTGCAGACATTTGGTTGTGCTCAGTGCTCAGGAACCAAGAGTAGGCACAAGTAGGAAGGAGGGGGAAGGAAAAAGAAAAAAAAAAAAAAAGCTTTGCTGCCTAAGAGCAGCTCTGTGAATATCAGACAGCTCCTCATGGGCAAATCCAGAGGTATGGCTGCGGTCTGTTGGGCTACTTCAGCTTTTCAGAGGAAGAACAAGGGTGTTTGTCTGTCTTAGGGCATGGGAATGGCATTATTGCATCCTACAGGAGATGCTGGGACCAGGGCAGCTGTATGTGGGTGTGGATTTGGTGGGCATCTCCTCTCTGCTCTTCGTCGGGGCACAAATGGATCCTGCGAAGGAAGAGAGAGAAACTCCCCGTGCTGCCAAAACCCATCTCCTGCAGGAGGAAGGCGAGGCCCCCAGAGGGCAGCACTGCTGGCTTGGTTGTAGGCAAGGGGAGAATGCCTGGCAGCTCCGCGGTTTTCCATCTGCGTAATGGAGTGTTTGGGAGGGAGAGGAGATGGAGAGTGACAGGCCGACCCTCTGGGTGGTGAGTGCGTATAGAAGGTACTGAACGCAAAGAGCCGAGGGAACGAGGGCTGCTCGGCCGAGCTGAGGGGCTTCTGAAGGCAGGAGCTCTGTCCCAACCCTCTCCTGCCTTGGACTGCTCCATGACGTGCCTCAGGACTCGACATTTGCCCTATGCTACCTCTGCAGTACAGAGAAAGTTTAGCAGAGATGAGTGATGAGCTCATGTGGGGATGAGCTCTGTGTCCTGGAGCTCCAGCTCTGCCCAGAGACCTGCACCAGAGCTGCTGGGGCTGGCCATTTGAGTACCTTTCTATCACATTTATAATCCTTACATGCTAATCTTGCACCACCCAGTGCTCGGAGGAACTGTGGTCAGCAAAGTGCTGCAGAACCTTCTGGCATTTGGACACAGGGTGCTTCAGGCTTAGGCACTAACCAACTCTTTCCTCCTGCTGTCACGTCCCTCAGGTCCTGTTTACACTTCCAGGCACAGCTCTGCCTTTGCAAAGTGATTTAATGCTGCAGCACCTGGGGCACTGCAAAGCAGCTCCAAGGGCCAGGGCAGAGCAGACCTGGCTGATAGAGCTGCTCTGTGGCACGCAGGGAGACAGCTTTGTGGTGTTTACTCTTTTTGTGTCCTAGGCATCCGGCACAGCCACGTGTATGTGTATGTGTATGTGCCAACCGCAACCTGCAAGTGGAGCTGCCAAAGGTCCCTTGCTCCTGAAGGCTTTGTTCCATCATGAGGATGGTTGTGAATAGAGAGTAACAGGTGCCGAGAGCTCTCCCAGCAGTGATCTGACATCCGAGAACCTTGAGCCTTGTTGTTGTGCTGGGGGATCTCCCCACATTTCACTGATCTTCTTGCTCCAGAATGCATCCTCTCTGGCTGTGTCTGAAATCCAGCTCTCTGCCACAGAGAATCCCTTCCCATCAGCCCCATCGTGTGACACAAAGTGGTGCCTGGAGGATGCTCACAAGGGGAAGTTCCTTCTGAGAGAAGGAAGAGTGTCATCTTCAAAAGAAATGTCCAAGAGAAAGAAGCTGGGGATCCTTCTGCAAGTTGCTCCTCTTTGAGTAATTTGGACGCTTGTGTATTTCTTCATGGGTTTATTTCTTCATCTGGTTTATTTCTTCATCTGGTTACACTTTAGGTCTACTCTCATTGTTAGTGCTGTTATGATTCATAGAATTGTTTGAGTTGGAAGGGACCCTTAAAGGCCATCACTCCAACCCCCCTGCAATGAGCAGGGGCACCTACAGCTCCATCAGGTGCTCAGAGCCCCATCCAGCCTGACCTTGATTTTTTCTCCAGGGATGGGGCACCACCACCTCTCTGGGCAACCTGTGCCAGTGCTTCACCACCCTGATTGTAAAAGCTTTTTCCTTTATAACAAGTCTAAATCTCTTTTAGTTTGAAACCGTTTTCCCTCCCCGCTGAAGAGTCTGTCCCCTTCTTTCTTACAGCCTTCCTTTAGTTGCTAAAAGGTTGCTATTAGGATTAAATCTGCTTTTTCCACCCAGGTCTTGCTGAAGGAACAGATGTGATCTCACACGAGTGTAATCTTGCCAGCAAATAAGGTATTGCTATTCTCATTCCTGTTTGCTTTTTGCCTGTTATCTTGGCACTGTACAAACTCGTAACTCAGAGTTCCCTGAAGAGTTAAAGCAAGCATGACAAATGAAGGCTTGGGAGTGAGGATGCAGCATGCTTGAGTGAGGTTTTTGTGTGTGGTGGCATGTGTGTAAGTTCAGTGGAAAATGATGAACAATTGGGAGTAATACTACATTTTCAATTATGTCATATTTCTCAAAACATACATATAAAATAATAAACTCATAGCGGTCTCAGCTGAAATGATTGGCCTTAGAAGAAGTTATTAATTCTTAATCACTTGCATCATGTAATGAGCCTTGTGACTGCTTGTTCTGTTTGAGGGAGATGAGAGAGCAGGCAGCGAGGCAGTACGAAAGCATGTCCCCAGCAGAGGATACCAAGAGCTGCTGTGCCAGGCTGAATTTGGGAGGATAAAGCTTCACAACAGAGCTAAAAGAGAAATGCTGATAGGGAAGCACTGATAAACTGAGCTATTCTGGGTGCAATGGGACATACCCATGGGATCGTATCCTGGCTCTGAGGTTGCTCTGTGATGGGAGTGTGCAAGTGAGCTCCTTCTCCAGTCCAGTTTGAGTGACTTGGCAATGAGGTGTGATGGTGGCTTGCAGAAGCCGCAGAGGTGAGCAGAGTTCAGTGTGGAACTGAAGGGGGCTGTGCACTGGGGGCTGCCGTGGGGAGCTGGCTCCAGGGCTGGTGGGCAGCACAGCTTGTGTTTTCTTCACCCACACATGTGGGGACACGTGGGTACTTGCTGAAATGCAGGAGGAGATGGAGGAGCAGAGGAGGGTAAGGGGAGTGGAGGTGGAGAAGTTTTCCAGTTTGGAATATCATTTTAAAGTTTAAAAAAAGAAAACTAAAATTCCCCTGTTGGGAAACCCCTTGGAGAATATTGGAAAATGAGGCCAAGCAGAGTTTCTTTGGATCCTGTGGAATTTAACACAGATTTGTCATCTAGCTGTCAAACCCACTGGAAATGTCTCACTCTCTATTAATAGTTTCATAGATTTTAGAGATTTTCTGGCTCAAAGGACCATTCTGTTCATCTCTTCTGACTTCTTGCATAAAGTGGGCTGCTCCTGTATCAAGCTCATCCATCCCAGCCAAACACAAGCGTATCTTTCAGAAGGATCTCCACTGAGACTTAAACACTTCCAGGCACGGCGAATCCAATTCTTGCAGAGGCTAATTGCTCTCACAATTAACCATGTCTTTCTGAACGCATCCAGCCTTCCAGCTGCAGCCTTTGATCTTGTAGGCAGGGATTCAGCTGGGTTAAACAGCCCTTAATCGTGAGGTTCCCTGTCTGGGGATTTGTTCACTTCACAGAATCACAGAATGGTTGGGTTGGAAGGAACCTTAGAGTCCATCCAGTCCCAACCCCTGCCATGAGCTGGTTGCTTCTCTCCAGCTCCCCCGTTTGCTGGTGACCTAAAGCCTCTGCCCTTTCCTCTACCTCTGCAGCTGGGGAGGTGTGGGAGCTGTTACAAGAGCTGGCATGGTGCTGAGCTCTCCTCCCCACTGCTTTCCAGAGTACCACCTCCAGAGACTTGTGCCAGACCTCATAATTAAGAGCCTGTAAAACCTTCCCCTTGCTGCCATGGCTTCTCCACGTGGCATACTGCAGCTGCGTCCCAAGAAACTGATTTAGAAGTGTTATTGGGGCTGGGACGTTTTTATGAGGTGCTGCTTTCACACTCCATCGCTTGAGAAGCCCAGACTGCCTTAATTAAAGACCTGGAGGGACACAACTCCTGGACAGGCAGACAGGGGTGCCTCTGCAGCACTGTCATCCAGCTCCCTAAGGGGCCTGGGTGCTCCTAAGGACCGCTGCCCCAGGACCTCGACTTCCCCCTCTGCCCCAAGCAGCCCAAGGACAGGGTCAGTGCCTGTGGGGGGAGAAGGACAAATCTGTAGTGCAGGATTAGTTTTCAGGGCTCGTCTTCTTAAAGCACCTGCAGCATCGTGCTGCTCGTGCCTGGGGATAATCCATCATGAGACGAATCTCCTTCCTGTGCTGGGCTGCATGTTACAGTGATTGTCCTTAGAGCCTGGGTCGTTTGGATGCGTGACTCCAGCTGAAGTGAGACCCAACGGGAAATGAATGTAGCTACTGGCTGGCGTGGAACTGCTCAGCCTCTTGGTTTAATGTAGCAGCTATATTTTCCCCAAATTAAAATGTATTCCAGTATCAGCCGTACCTCTCTTTGTCTCTTCTGTCAACTGAATGCTCTGGTGCATAAAAATCTGCGCATGGGCTGCACTTAATAAGTGCTAACAATCGTGTGCTAATTCTGTTAAATTTCTTGAGACTAACAGCTAAGATAACATGTTCAGTGCTTAGATGATGACAGAAATTCATATTTTTTCAAAAAAAGAAACAAATCTAATCCATCCTTTCCGATGGAGAACTTCATGAATTGCACCATCTCAAAATGCTCTTTAGTCATTAAATCTAATTACTGGAGCTGGTTACATCCAAATTTACATTTGCAACCGCAAGAGCAAGAAATCGAGATATTCCAATAACTGCGTGAATGTGCCAATGCTGTTAACTCTTCTTCTCCCCACAGAAGCAGTGTGAGCTGGAAGGACAGACCTGAGCAGCCCTGTGTGTGGGAGGTGCCCTGCTTGCTAATTGCCAAGCAGGTATGAGCTGCAGGCTTGGCTTCGGTAATGAGCATCTTCTTTTAGTTTATTAAGAGGGGGTTAGAGGTGATGTGATAATGGTCCAGAATTACCTACATCCAGGGGGGGCTTCTGGGAGACTCTTTAATCTCTTAGACAAGAGCACGGTGAGACTGGAGAGTTAGCCAGAAGAAAGGTTAAAGGTATACATGCAACGTGAGTTTAATTATCCAGAGAAGCAGCTCTCTGAGGGTGACGTCTGCTGTTTTCAACTTATTTTGCAGAAGTGATGCAGCTCAAGCAGCTCTAGCATTGCTGCCGGTGGGCACCTCTGAGCCCATCTCAGTTCCCGAGCCTCCCATGGGGCAGCGTGTTGTATATCTGTCCCAAGGCTTTGCACAATTGCTTTATTTTCAGCTTGGTGCATGGCACATAAGGGTTCCTGGGAATTTATGGTAGCCTGGGAAGAGCTGGTGAGTCAGGAGGCAGCCAGTCATTAATTCCCAGTAATGCCTTGGACTGAGTTCATTACTGTTATCAGAAGATGAAATGATGTGGAAAGTAGATTTATTTATTTTTCTGAGACTGATGGAAGACACTGCTCTGGGGAAAAGCAGTGCCAAGATATTGGCAAGCGAGGAGCCCGAATCCTCTTGCAGCAGTTTGTTCGGCGCAGAACTGTTTGCTGTGTTGAAACAAGAGGTTGTATCAAGGTCACCTCAATGAGATTCAGCTTTGCAGCCTCTATGAAAGCAGAGCTCAGTGTCCTCGTAGATCTTTTTTACTCCCCTCTGTACGTAACAGGCAGGTCTAGCAAGCTCCTGCAGAAGAAATAAAAGGTCTGCAGGACGGGACTGTTATATGGCCAGCTCTAAAGGCCCACTCTGCATCACATACCGTCTGTGCGCCATCACACTGGGCTCAGGAAGTCGATCTTGGCTTTAACTTCATTCCTTTCCTGCAACTTAAAGCAGGCAGAGTGTGTCCTGGTTGCCCTGCCAGTCCCTGCTGACGCCATGGAGTGGGAAGCAGGATGCAACCGAGTCCCTGGAGCGCAGCGGTGCTGGCCCAAATGCTGACTGGGATGGGGATGAATGCAAACCCCGCCAGCGCTGGAGGAGGGACGGGAGCACGGATCCAGGCTGGAGGCTGGGCAAATAGAGACACTGATCGTCAGAGGGTTCTACATGGATAACAGAGAACATCATAATAAATGGCCATGAATATTTCATGGCAGGGGTGGCACTGATACGATGTATCATAGAGGAGCAATGGGGTTTTTCAGCATTCAGATGCAAATGGAGAATGTGCTCTATTTTTTAAAGGTTTCTCCCCAGACATGGCTATGTTTTCTGAAAATCAGATTGACTGGGAGAGTTTGATATGAGAAACAACTTGAGGGCTCTGGTTGGTTAAAAATGAGACAAAAATAGTGCGAGCAGTATCAGAAGCTTGTTGGTGCCAAAGATTAAAAACCCAGTAGATCGGGTAGCCCATCTCCCTTAATCAAGGGACACCAGGTGGGAGTCACCAAAGGGAAATCTGCCACATCACTGTCCTTGAAGCTGCAAATTGAAGCTGAATTCTCCTTCTTCCTAGTTGCAGCCTCTCCACACTGGGACTTTGAGACATGGGATGATAGTGGTGCAGTGCTGGTACCTGGGAGAGGACATGAGAGCCAGGGTCCAGGTCCTCCTTTGCCACTGACTGCTTTCTGGTATGTGTTGAAGCTTGCTTGGGATCAGGCTGGGGCAGGCAGGAAAGGAACCGCCCTTCTGGAGGGGACTAGTTGTAACGCACATATTGGGTTTGCTTTTGTGGAACAAATTCATCTGTGGGGATGCTCAGTCCAGCTCTTCTTTGCCGTGATGATGGTACACAAGGGGTGCTCTGTCTGGGGGTGATCACCCTGTGCTGGAAGAGCCTGCAGGAGCCAGACCCACATTCCATACTGCAGCCAAAGGAGGCTTATTTCTTGGTGTTGGCTTCCTTCTGGCATATGTTTTGCATGAGCACAAGCGTGTTTCAGGGCAAGTGTTTGCTAATATATAATTTATTGCTAGCCTTATGTCTGTGTGCCATCCCATACACAGGAGTGCACACACATGAGTACAGGCAAGTGCTCACAGCTGCCAAGGATGAGGCTTTGTCCCCATCCAGCAGCAATGGGGAGGACTGACCTTACTGATGTATATTTTCCTTTCCCTTACTGATGTATATCGTATAGCACTGACCCACTCTACAAACATCTTCTGCATGTTTGTCCTGGTGGAAACTCTGTCTACCTAGCTTGTAATTAATGCCCTCAGGTCCCCAGACTCTAACAGAACACAGTGTGCATTGTACGTTCACAAGTTTTCTTGCTGAAAAAACGGTTTCTATCACCTTGTCTGCTACCTCTTTCCCTCTAATGTATTTTTTGACACAGGTGGCAAAGCTGTGGTTTAAGATGAGAGATGGGGCAAGAGGAAGGATGTCTTTGTGGCTGTGCAATGGAGCAGGTGTGAAGGAGGTGAGTTGCAGTCTGTCTCCTGTACCCCCTCCATCCTTCTGTATGCTATTACAAATATCCCACCACTGTTTCTCCTGTGTTTGTAAATTGCCAGTGAACCCACAGTGATTCGCTTGAGTTTCTCATTTGGCTCCTGTAAAGAACGTCTTCTCCTCCCCATTTTCATTTCACTCCTGGTCAGGACACAACACCCCAGGCATCAACGCACCAGCGCACAAACAGGTTGCCATCAGCAGAGCAAATTGGCAGGGCAAACCTCAGCTGATGTGTTCATCCAGATGGCATCTAAGCATAGCAGGGCCCAGCAAACTCCAAGTACTGTTCCAGAGGAAAAAAAAAGAGGGGAAAAAATGAAAGAAAAAGCATAGATTAAATGCACTTGTTTCTTTAAATCTGAGCCTGAATGGTGCTGTGAGCTAATTCTTTGCAAGCTGGGTGTTGTCAGTTGATGAAAACTCTTCCATAAAGGTGTTAAGCTCACTTGCTGGATCAGAAATATTTCTTTTTCTTGGAGAGTGCTGATGGTGTGCCTCGATCAGCCAAAATGGGGCTGATTTTAACGTGCTTTACTATAAAGCAGTCATTACATCTCTCTTTAGGATTCAAATGAACATTTCTTCCATATTTCAGCTGTGCTGAACTGGCTTTGCAAAGAACCCTGCAGGCATTTGCTCAGGAACTGGTGAAATTACCCTGCCTAATGGCCTCCAGAAGTGAATGTACCCAAGCAGAAAGTGTGCCACGCAGATCCCAGGAGCTGTGCGGAGTGAACGGCAAGTTGGTTTCTGTGCCAGTCTCAAGGTAGCAGCTGAAGCATAAACTGGGGAGAGAAAATGTCTTAATATGCTCACGCTCTTTATTGCTTTGTTTTTGGGCCTTTGTTGTTCATTTATTTGTTGGTGCCCCTCCTAGAAAATGTATGGATGGGAGAAGGAGCATCTGTCCATTTGTTCCATCTCCTGTGTTAGCACCTGGGGTTAGCAGGGCTGGGGCTGCCATCAGCATGATGCTGTGGGACCCAGGGCTGTGGCAGGTAGTAAAGCAGCTGTGAGAGCAGGGGACAGCCTTCTGCTGCCTCTGTTGAGATTAAACCCACAGATGTTGGCCCTGAACGCCTGTCAGCTGGACTGGCACTTTCTGGCTGAACCTCTCCTCCTGTTCCACTGCAGGGAAAAGAGCTGTCTGTGGGCTGAGCACAAACTCAGATTTCCTTTGTCCGAGCGTAGCAAGAAAAACAACCTGCATCAGTTCCCAAATAGCAAAGCTCCAGGTAGTATTTTCTGCAAAATTTGGATCAAATCAGACAACAGATTTCTGAGTTAAGTCTCTCCAGGCACAGAGTTATAGTTAGGAACACTTGGGAGCATTTACATGTTCTGCTTTGTCACTCAGAAAACAATGGGGAAGAGAAGGAGAAAGGCTGGTAACCAACCAACATCTTGTCACCAACTGCACAACAGCTTCAGGGGACTCCGCACTGCAAATAGGGGGTCTGAAGGCCTATGAAGAGCAGCATTGTGGTTCTCATGTTTCCTCCAGTGCAAGAGCTTCTGCTGGGAGCTCCGGAAAGTTAACCGGGGTCTTTTAGGTTTGGCAGGCGCTACTGTGCATGGGAGAGAAGGAAGTGGGATGAAGTGCCATAGAACAAGGTTGGACTGATTGGGAGCTCCATCACCAAATGTCTGCATCTTCTCCCTGCATTGGTTTAATCAAATAACTTTGAGTTACTGTGGACCACTGGGATTTGCTCTCCGTATGTTTACAGTGGGTAGCTGTAAAAGGAGACATCACTTTCACTTGTCCTGTTTTAAACACGAATGAAGCACTTCTCTTCTAAAAGCATTTTAAGGTGGATTAATTAGCAAGCAGGAGAACAAACACGAGTTTGGAGCTTTGTGAATCTGTTTATTCCCCCAGGACCCTTCCTCTCTCCCATGCCATTTCTCCTGCTTCCCTTGCGTTTTATGACCCTGAGCTGGTGAATCACATCCAGGCCAGTGCTTGCACCACATGTAGGCAGTGGTGTGATCTTGTGCGATAAATGTGTGTGATGGAGGCGCCTTCAGCCCTGCTGTGTCGTCCCGGGCTGGGAGCGCTCAGCTCATGGGTTTGTTATTTCTCTTGGCGAGCTGCGCTCAGAGCTGAGGAACTGACTTTGTGGCCCTGAATTACTGCACCAAACGTGTGTGTGAGGACCTGCGTTTCAGCAGTGACTGATATGAACAGGTCTGCCTGCAGCTAAAAATAGAAAGCGCGGGGCAGCTTCCTGGCAGAGCTGTAGTGACTTCTAATAGGAGATGGCTCGGCAGCAGTTCCCATGGCAAAGCTCCCTCCGAGGCTCTGGGAAGGCTGCCGTGCGCGCTTGAGCCAGTATTAAACAACAGAGATTTCTGCTGGCAACTGTCTTGCGAGGCACAGAGGCCAATATTGAGTTCTGAAGTTTCCTTTTTCCCAGCACAGGGGTGCCTTGGCCTGGGGAAACACTGCTTGGCTCTGTATTGCTCCGTGCCTTCGTTTCCCCTCTGTG